AATGACATGACATGATATCAAACCATGGCAACCTTGCTTCCTTGATGTTGGCAACAAATTATGGTCTCTTTCCCACATCATGGCTTTTATCCAAAATATTTACCCCTAAGTTAAACGGCGTGAAAATATATAGCCTAAAGCATGACGTAAGTGTAGGGATTTTTATTAAAAAAAATTTTAAAAATATGCTGTAATTGCTGACATCTTATTCACCAAAGAAGTGTGTGTTTACGCTTTATTATAATAAGTATAGATAATACAGATACACCTATATTGTTGGATTTGAATATGAAAAGACAATGTGTCTCTTATCTTTTAGACAAATACATTTAACCTAAATTTAATAGTCTGTAATAATAGTGAGAAATGAAATCGAGTCGTCTGTTTATTTGAATATAACTTTGGTAATGCATTCACGCTTTCTGATTTTATCATGACTTTCTCATGAGGGTCTTGGAGAAGCAATGGCACACACATAGACTGAGACGATATAAAGAAGTCGAACGACAGAGGTCGGTAAAGGCACACTGACAGTGTTTACTGAATCAAACTGTACAGTGAAATCTGAACGTCTGTAGTAAGCTCTGAAAATTATTGTACATAAATAACAATAAACCCGACAGAATAGATCGATGCCAGTATCCTACAAAAGTATTTTAATATTGAGTTTAGTTAATTATGTTAAGAATTACATAAACATAATTATAATTTGTAAACTTACAGCACTAATGGTTTTTCTTCGTTCATTTCCCCGTAAAACATCCGAAAACAAATAAAAAAAAGTAACCACACACCCTAACAATCACTAATAAAACACTATCCGCAATAAATTATTTTTAAATGGCCAATCTTTTCATTAATTCCAGGCCAATATTCAAAACACACTGCACACGGAATGGTCTGAGAAATAAACAGCATTAATTAGCTACTAGACATGTCAAAGTGTGACGTTAATTTGACTAGTGCTAGTCACAGTCGATCCGCGAAGCAGGAAGCGGTACAAGTCAAGTCTGAGGACGCACTAAATCGAACCCATCGAATTTAATGTTATCTCCGAAGCGACTATCGCAGGGCGCTCCTTAACTTCACATTAGTTGATAAGGACACGATGCGCAAATACTACCGACTATATGATAAACATGGGGTGTTATTAAGATAGTTATCGATAAAATGTCACATTAAAAACATTGGTTGCGAATTCCTGGTTCCTATTAAACCGGACTCGAGCTGGGTTATTAATTTCCCCCATAGCGAGGTTACTTAAATAAACGATTTTATTTATTTGTGTCTAGCTATAAGATGTATAAAGTAAATAATATTATTTCTTAAGTAATCGACAATAATTAATGGATGCAATAAACCATTTTCCAACTTTCACACTTTATTAATTGCAGATTAAAAATCTGTTCTAATAACGTTATCTCATTATTATATCGAACGATACAGTAATAGACCCTGCGTTGATTCTATGCATGATATAAAGTCGCACATTACGTACATTAAATAGACGTATGACAATTATTTATGTCAGTAATAATTGAACATTTGCTCGTTTAAATTGAACAAAACAGTATTGCATATATGACATGTGGATGACGATGAAAAGACGTTTAAGTGCTAGCTTAATAAGAATAGGCTAAGTATTCATGAATTAAGACGATTTAAAAAAACTTTATACAAATCTACCGCGATATAAAATAACTGATTTTAAACGCTTCGAATTGCTGTAATTTGTAAACCTGTCTTAAAAATTCTAAGTTAAAAAAAATACAAACCAATAAACAGTTCAATACTCATGAAGAGTGTCAATTTGTATATACTTAGATATCAATGCTATTTCCAAGGAACAAATATAATTCTTCTTGGAATAGATTCAGTACCGGTAACGTAACTAACGGTTGTCAAGCGCTTCCATCCAATGATAATTGTAATGCAACTCTCATTGTAGTTATGACCTTTGTTGTACTGCATACAACATATGCTTAGTGATATCGAAGCAGAACACAACTGTATATACCTTTTTATCTATATCTATACTTCTATACTGTCATAATAAAGCGTTTACACATACTTTGTGGCATAGGATGTCAGCAAACACACCATATTTTTGAATAATTATTTTTTTAATAAAAAGCCCTACACTGACCACACGCTTTAGACTATATATTTTCACGCTATTAAATATTATTTATTAAACTTACTTACACGCTATTAATTAAACTTAGGGAGTAAATAAATTGGACAAAAACTTTCATGTCGGAAAGGGACCATAAACTACAAGCTGCCAACATTAGGAAAGCAAGGTTACTGTGGTAACAGTAAGACATTTGCAATTGAGAATTTGACAAATGTAAACAATGAAGTAACATTTTTCTAATTACACGCGGATGAAGTCGCACGGGAACAGCTAGTTGACTTTATAACATAGGTATTGTATTGCAACTACGACATTCAATGAAGAATTGAAATAACTAATAAACTACCACTGATCATCATAAGACATAAGTTGTTTTATGCGCGGTTTACACTTGGACAGTAGCGCAGGCCAAGCATGGATGGTCTCAATGGCGCCAGTGTTCACATCACACTACTTGAATGCCCAGTCCAGTTTCATCTTTAATCGGCGCTGACTGATATAATGGACGTCAACGTGGTCCACTTTTAAGAGCGGGCGCAGAACTTTGACTAAACTATCACATAACTGTTGTGCGATTGTCGATTGTTTCGCAGCCAATTCAACTGTTTAGTTGCACAACCAAGTCGAGTAGTGCGCACCTCCATATAAGCTGATAAAAATCAAAGCAAGACTGAACAACTTTTAAACGATATCCAATTGCAATGTATTTCAAATATGGAACACAAATAACCGTCTATTTCAGCTCAAATCTATTTAAATGAGCAGGATAGTTGACCGTTAGTGACACTAAACGTGTCGCATCCAATGGCAGAGATAAGGTGAGCAAACAGAAGTAAGCAGGATGTTGGCGAGTACTCAGTTATCTAAGACAAATATTTGACCAACGGTAGGTACTGGCCAGATTGGACTGAGTCCATTCATTAGTATTGTTATTTCATACCAGCGGTATATCCCGATTTCGCACGTGTTGAGATTTATATTTAAACATTAAAAAAATATGTGGTGCTTAATTTCGTTTTGTTTTTCATTATTTTTAACTAAATTAAATATGTACAGTCAACAAACTAACATTTTCAAAGTTAAGTAATTTTTGGTTGTCATGCGTATTTCCTTTTTTCTTAGGACCAAAAATATTCGTTTCACACATTCATATACGTTAAATAAATAAAATGAATATAGATGGTTATTGATACATTATATTAGATATATTATTACATACAGACATGGCGAAATAGTTACCTATGTTACGTAATTTCGAGAAAACACATAGTTTTTAATTTATTTTTAGTATTTCCTTATTAATACAAGTACTAATTTTATTTACCGTCTAGTTTTTTTTGTTAAAAAGGTGGTATTACTGTCTGTAGACTTTTACCCCAGATAATATACTATTGCGTAACACCGCTAATCTTTTTAATAGCGCCCATATTTAAAGATAAAAAAATTACATATGTAAACAAAGATTTTCCCACCGTTTCTGATACGAGAGTAACGCACATAAATGCTAATTAACATCTTTTCCAGCATGACGTCTTGAAAAAAAATATTTACAACTAGCTTTTGCCCAAGACTTCCGCGCGATTCAGAATACCTACTATCGTCGACTAGGTAAAGAATAAAAAAAAGTATTTACACATGCAGTTTACTTGAATATTAAAAAGTTATTTAAATATGTTTTTGTGTCAATGATAAATTATAACTAAACAAAAGTATGCATTCAGGGTTGGTGATAAGACAATGTGGTTAATAGTATGTTGCTGGGTCAATGCAAGAATAATTGAAAATGTATGCCAAATTGAAAAAAATAAATAAGGACATACATAGGTTTTACATAATTTACATAATTACATAAACAATAAATACGACAGCCATTTTAGCAAAAATGCAAAACCTGAAATTCCGACAATTTGTTTTTTTTTTGTAATTTTACAAATCGTACACCCCTAATATATCTTCGTAATGCAATTCGCTATAACGAGTAACGCAATCTGGAAACTTCGATTTGGAGTAGTGAGGAAAAATTAAAGTTGTAACTTTCTTGGCCTCTTGTACATTAAGAAATTGAACTAGAAATTTAAAAGGGTTTTAATTTAATAGGATATAATAAACTAGGATATATTTACTTCTTACTTTGACAATAATAATTAAACCAAAAATTAAAATGTTTCACCAAAAAATGTTTTACTAACTTCCCTGAATACCTAATACTGATTTAATATAAAAATATAGATAGAGTAAATAAAACTAAGACAGTTGTTATTAATACCTGTTTACAATATAAAGAAAAGAGATAAATCAAAAACATAATAATTGAAAACACATTTGAAAACATTATTATTACAACTTTCCATGTTTACAGTTAACCTTTCAACATAAACTGGCTAAATATAGTAATTATTTTCAAAAAATAATTAATTAGTACTTTCAATAATTAAATGGCTATTATTTTATCCATGTTTTTGTTTATTGTATTGTAAAAAATCCAAACACAAATATTGCAAGCACACTGCAATTCTTATTGGATAATTTTGAAGTTTTTTTTCTAGAAAATTCTATATCTGAGTTCAACCAATATTTTGAAAAAAGAATTACTTTTGACTTTGAATATTATAACAAAATGACAGCTCTGCTACTAGTCAAATAACAATTTTGTTTTATTAAATTAATTTCGAGGAAAGAAAAAATGGCCTTAGTTAATTAAATATTTTAAATGCTCCATTTTAGCAAAATGAAACATTTTGTGCTATTATTATATTTTAATTAACGCAGTACTAATACATTTAAAAAGTTAAGAATTGCCAAATGGATGGTTATTTTGTATATATAAAATTACTGGTAAAAAGTATTGAATAGTTAAACTTACTTGTTTATCGTCTGTGAACCTTGATTCATAATTTTGTTCTTGATTAGACAGCTGGGGGTTTCAGATTTATCCGTCACGTACTGTGCCTCCACATCTTCCAAGATCGCAGCTCGATCTGCATTTGTTTGGTTCAACTTATCACTAGACAAACTTTTAGACCTATACCTAGCGTTCAATGGAACTAATGTTTTATCACCGAATGTGCCACTCAAACCGTTCAATTTAGTGTCGTTTTGAAAATTATCGTTCATTATTTTAGATGACATCTCGAAATAAACAAACACAGCGCATGTACGCTAACGTCAACGTAATGTCAATCTTAACTTCGCCGAGCAACTGACGGTTGCGAGCAGAAACCGAACGTTTTGCCAGCGCCCGACGACGAATAAAACAAGGCTACTCGGCCGAATTAACAACAACACCGACACTTCGTTATATTTATTAAGTTTTTTCTATATTTAATTTAGGCGCATAGCTCTCTGTGACGTTTGTTTGGTTAAAAAATTGGTCCGTTTATTTCAATGTCGGAACACTCGGAACGCAAACAAGAGTGACGGCGAAATCGATTCTATTGTAATATAAATTGAATACATTGCGAGCGGTCAATAATACAAAACAATAGCTGGTGAATTCAATGCAGGGAATATTAAAAAGTAAGGAAATAAAGGTGGCAGTCGAAAAAAAATAGGAAGTATGAATAGGATTCTCCGTTTATTTCTTAAATATTTTAAATTTAATTAAGCGGCACAAATATTCAGTGTGACAAAAAGTTCTATTTATAAAAACATCTATAGATAATTAAATTATTACACTTACCTTAATTTCAAGTTAGTAAACAGTAACTAAATTAGAAATTTGATTTAATAATGAAGATGTTGATAGTTTAAATGCAACGACGACGTTTTCGAGGCTGTATGCTTAACCTTTGCTGTACGCGTTCTGCTTTTTAATAAACACTAGTTTCTCGCATCTGATATACCAGGGCTTGTCAGCCATTTTCTATCTACCCACTATAAAACACTCATTGACAACTTTATAATTTAATTCTACAGATTATATAAAATAGATGACACAATATTTAGTCTGTATTATTTATATCTAACCTAAAAATCGTCTACACCGATTTAAATCAGTCTCTATAATAAATCATATAATTTTAAAATACAATAAAGTTATCAAATCGTCATGGTCTACGCTATTATATGAATAATATACATGTTGTTTTATAAATTAGTAATGCATCATTATTCGCAAAACACTAGAACGACTAGCGACGTTCTGTGCATTTTGTTATTAAAAAAAAACGATTACAACTTTTACATTTTGGGTAATCTGTGCAATTAATTTTATATTTAGATAATCATAATCCACTTAGCCATAGTACGTATACTGCAATATCTGGATTTGTGATTTTGTCATTTAGGTATGAATGCTTTATTCTTAGTATAAAGCCCGATCACAAGGCATTAGCAGTACTAGTTTAGTATTGTATTATCTGTGGCATTATTATATTTGCGTGGCATGTGCCGAAGCCGCACCGACCAATCAAACGTGATCGGATTTTTGACGCTTGGCAATAAATAATGATCGTTCATTTAATAAATGTTATGTGAAACATTGCTGTGAATAATTCGAAATACGTTATTAATGTTTTATGTGCGAGAATTTTTACTCATCGGTTAATTAACATACATATAAGTTAAATATATTAAGCAAAGTTTTGGCAATGAATTGATGAACAGACTTTCTTTTTTCTTCTGAACCTTATTGATTAAAACTTCATTTAAAACTAGCATTTGTTGAAACAATTTCTTGTTGTAAATATTTTCATATTTATAACTTCAAAACATCATTCATAAGTTTAAAATATTTCATCATGTTTGTATATTCAATTCTTATCTATGTTTCGGAAGGATCTAGAGAGTTCTTTCATGTTACAACATAATAAAGGTGAATTACAAGGAAATTCTACGCTACGATGTAGTATTGCTTGTGAATCAATCATTCAGCCAACATCGTTATCTCGTATTTACACATCACACTCCGCAACCGTCTGCTATCCTGTCTTTACACGCACAAACATTGAAACAAGTTTAAGTTCGGTTAACATACTCTAAAAAGCCGGCTTCCATTGCCCACAATTAATATAACATAGCCATTATTACCCATAGCAAAAACATACTGTTTAATACAAACTCTAACCGCTTTGAGAGTTTTACTCGTGTGCAACTTTGCCGATGGCGTTGCATAACTCAAAGATCAAAGAGTAAGTTTTGCGCAGATGAGCGCGGGACGAACTAGTTAGTAGAAAGAGCAGTCATCGAAAACCTTTTGTACAAGTCTAATAATAATGTAAATAAATATATGAATAGGAATAACTAATTATATCTCCTAACGTGTTATCCGCAGAAGACAAAATAGTGCCTGATTTTCGTGATAACTTTCCACGGACTAATTGTTCCTTCGTGATCACACAAAAACCATATTTATTCGAGGAATAATTATCGCATTAAAGTTAAATAGTTACTAAGTGCGCTCCTTAGTGAAGGTATAATAAGATATCTTGATGATACGAGTAAATTTTAGTTTGGAGTGTCGCTATAAATGTAGGTCGAATTTGGTATAATTTGCAAATTGCGTGAGTCGTATAATCTTCAACATAGATTCTTAGTAAAAATATATGTTGTGTGAAATACGTATTACATATTGTTGAAGTTTAGTGATTTAGTTTACACAACGTTACCGTTTCGCGGTATCGTTACAAAACAATGTGCGATCGCGTGTCTTTCTCTATAAATGCACACGAATAACAAAACTGTTATTCGTATGTGACAGGGTCGTACGTGAAATTTTATTTTGGAAATAAACTATACTAATATAATAAGCGTAAACACACTCTACTCCGTAGCGTAGGATGTCAGCAATCACAGCATGTTTTTAAATCATTATTTCTGTAATAAAAAGCCCTACACTTACGACACTCTTTAGTCCATACATTTTTAAGCTATTAAACTTAGGGGGTAAATAAATTGGGAAAAAACCTTCATGTGGGAAAGGAACCATAAACTGCAAGGTTGTGGTAACAGTAATTTTGACTAATTACTGGATTTGAACGAAGATTGCTTAGGTCACATATAACTCAGCTACTGTCCTAGACGTGGAATCTTTAAAGCAGTGTATAAGCATTTACCAAGATAGTACGTACTAATCGAGAATATTTTTATAGTTAGCGAGAATATACAAAATCTGGCTTTAGGGCTCTTCGATCGTCTTTACATGCTAACTTTATAAAAAAATTGTATTTTTGTATGGATTGAAATAACTCAAAAAGTACTGAGCCGTTTTCGAAAACTCTTTCACGATTAGCTACGTTATCAGTGAGTAACGTCGGCTCCATTTTTTCATTATATTTCAATTTCACGCAGACAAAGTCGCAAACAACAGCTAGTGTTTTATAAAATTCAATCATACTAATATTATAAATGCAAAAGTTTAGATGGATGGATGGCTGGTTGGTAAGAGTTCGTAGCCTAAACAGCTAAAGGTATCTGGATGAAATTTGGCATAGACGTAGAGGATAGGCTGGAAGAACACATAGGCTGTTCACTTTTTTTTATGCCACGCGGACGGGGTCGCGGGCGAAAGCTAGTAATTTATACAACAGGGATTCCGATGGAGTTGTTTAAAACTAACTGAAATATTGTGGAAATCACAAGTCGCGTCTATTTTGTTGTCACGCATTTAGACACAATAAGGGTATTGTGTTGCCGTGTCGTGTCTATATGCGTCCTGTTTGCGAACTGTCCTCGGGAAAACGGCGTTGATAATTTGACAGATGTGTATCAAAATTGACCAAAAAAATTGTTTTTTTTTTACACTTTTCACGTTTGTATAGTTGACAACTGTTTTTCATTGAATTACTGTTTCTTTGTTATAACAATATTTGTTATGGCCTTGCTGGTGATGGTATAAAAGAGGTTAGAACCGGCACTGGATATCATACTTCATACTAATAGTATAAATGCGAAAGTTTAGATGGATGGATGTTTGTTAGAGCTTGTAGCCTAAATAGTTGAATGGATTTCGATAAAATTTGGTATTGACGTAGAGGTTAGTCTGGACGAACTCATAGGCTTCTTACTTTGTTTTTTTTTAATACAACGTCGCGGGCGAAAACTAGGCGAAAGCCACACAGAAGACAGGCGTGAAGTGGGAGCAATTCCGCGTTTCGTCTGATGAGTGTGATGCCGAAGGCCCAATTTTAGTCTCTTTCCCTCTCCACCCTCTTCTTGTAAGGAAAGCATTGGATGGGAAAGTGGATTTGACGGTGAAGAAGACGCATAGGAAGGGAAACATCCGGTTTATATACGTCTCCTCCTCCGTCGATTTAGGGAGGCAACGCATCTGCAATTGCGGATGTCTATGGGCAGCGGTTGCTTCGCTATTTTGGATTTAGGTGGCCGCTTACTCGTTACCCACCTAATAATGTAAAAAAAAGTTCTTTACAATGTAAAAAATCTCTTTATTCGCGATCTCGTTATGCGCGTCATTCATTCGCAAAAGAAATGTAGATAAAACAGTATTCGAGTTAAAACATTTGATAGCAGTTTCTCTCTGCGCAGCAAATTTTCGGAACGTACCCCACGAATACAGTAATAGGCTGAACACAATAAACACGTGCGTACACAACGTGAATTCAAAACTTCAGCGTTCCGTGTAAAATTAGCCTTATTATGAACAGTTCGTCAAAGCAGCAACTGCTATAGCTTCCTCTAAACATACCGATATCTATACATTTATGTATGACACTGGTTTCGCTGAAATTACGTGCACAATACATTCGTCCCCATTGTTGTGAACAGCGAAGTTGCCACATGAAGTAACAGTCTATATACTTGTGATAGTGGATTAAACGTAATTTAAGGCTAACTAATTTTCTGATTTGTTGTATAAATTGCATCAATAAAGACATATGTTTTTACCTTCTTTATTTTGTTTTCAAACATCATTGTTGTATAACAAAGCAGTCTACGAATTATTTGATTAAACTTATTAATAAGTCAGCATAACCAATCGAAAGTGAGTTAGATAACGTACTGTGTGGGTCAATTAATATGCGCTGTAGTATAGTATTGCACGCGCATTGGTAGTGACCCACTAATTTTGGTACAGTGTGTACTTGGCTGCCGCACCGCGTGACCATATCCCAACTGTGACTGATCTAGTTGTACAATACCTTATGTCATACTAGCTTTCGCCCGCGATTCCGTCCGTGAGGAATTTAAAAAAAACAAAAGTGAGTAGCCTATGTGTTCTTCCAGACTATCCTCTATATCTATACCAAATTTCATCGAAATCCGTTCAGCCGTTTAGGCTACAAACTCTAACAAACATCCATCCATCCCTTCAATAGTCAATGCAAACAACTTTTAATCTAATTTTCTTTGTGATTTGAAAAAGATGGATCAGAATTAAATATTGTAGACGAGTTTAAACCGAAAACTAAAAAATTCAGTAAGAAAATTGCGGTAAAACCTTCGCAAAGCGGACACACTTCCGGGCAAAAACATCGCAATTCGTCGTTTATTTATGTAATGACAACCACTAGGAAGAGGAAACTAATTGTTTTCTATTTATTACAGTCCAATGGGCGCAGTGCGGTGATGTTGGTGGTTTTTACTAAGGACCATTCGCTTCTTCCTTAAAACGAACGATAGATTCACAAAGAAATACCAATTTACTCAACCAATGTAATAGAATGATAAATTAAATACATAAAGTGTAAAAGAAAATAATTTAATGAATGTTTTAGTTAAAACCGCTACGTGATTACCACAGTTCAGTAGCGATATGCTGTATTGCTTTTAAGTTTTTAATAAATAAATTCATGGTTTTAGTGGAATAGGTTGGTGGAATATTCCACATAACCGTATTCATTAACCTATTACCTAACTAAACCGACAAGTTTATTTTAAAAAGTTAATAGCAATACCACATATCGCTACTAAAGTGCGATAACCACGTAGCGGCTTAAAGTGAAACATTCATTAAATTATTCAGTTTTACACTTTATTCATTCCACGGGGTAAATCCTAAAAATATAATTTATATTATATATAACCGCCTCCTTCAAATATTCCCTTTGCAAGATTTTCTAACTAGTTTCTTTGCTCAATTATTTTTGAAGGCGTATTTATAAATAACAAAGTACTATATTTTTGTTGAATATTTCACCTTAACTTGCAAAAAACTAATAAGTAAACAAAAAAAAAATACGTTTTGATCACGTTAGTTAAGGCAAAGTAGTCATCTCGATAGTCTCGTGTATTACGTTGTTGGAATGTATTACCACTTCGATGTACTTCAGTAGTTTCCTCGTTGTTTTGTAACCATGGGAACTTGACCCAGTTGCCGCGGAGAGACACTCGACCTTGAGACTGACCAGCCGTCACCGCTGAAGGTCAAACTACATAGTATGGGGCCCTTATAACACGAACAGACAGGTGACGTTATCGGAATCAGTAAGATAATAGGAAAATGGTTATCATGTATGTTTGAAACGTCATAATAGTTTTGGTGTTAACTTAAATATAATAATTAACACATAATTTAATTTGAATTTACTAGAAGCAGAAGTAACCTAAAATGTTATCAAACTAACTTGATATTTAGTTTAGTTTTTAAACTTGTTTGTTTATTATGCTATTTGACAACTGAAGTTTCTAGAATTAATAAATAGTTTATCTAATTCTAAGCAACGCGTGTTTAGATAAACTCCATCCTCCTGTCGATGAAAAATTATCGGAGATAAGATATTTTTATCTAAAAATAAACACTTTTAAGATACAAAGATTGTAGACTATTTTTACACATGACGTACCATTTTGTATCACCAATAACCTGTCTTTATTCTTTACATAGTATTAGGTAAAACGACCGCAGAATTTATAGGGTCCAATTTAGAGGATTCCATTTCCTTGCCTGCCAGATGCTCTGCATCATATATTGTTACATATAATTGTTATAAAGCTCTCACACACATCAAACAACACAAATAACAATGTTAGACACATTTTCTGTTTGTTACGTTTTATTCATAAAAGACTTTATGAGACGTATGCCCACGTACAGGGCGGCAGTATACATCACGAGGGACAAGCCACTTATATAGTTGACCTGAGACGAGAGTCTGGTAAAGAAGTTACCGTACACATTGGTGCGAATGTCTATCGCGCTGACGTCCTCGTAGGTGGCACCCTGTGGCCGCAGCTGACTGGACACACGCAGGTACGCGCTGTGCCCCGCCTCCAGCGCCCCCGATATGTCCCCGTCTCTGTACATGTCTAGAGTACCCCATTCCACGAATCTAACGTTCTCCTCCTCTGTCCACTTCTTTAACGCTACGTAATCCCCACATCTTGGTACGAACAGATCCTCGATGTCGCTCTCCTTGTAGTTCACAGGGTGCGCCGCGTCGCTTCCGAACAACTTCACCAGTTGCTCGACGACCTCAGCTTTAGAATCGTGTTTATTTAATTCGTATTTCACGGCCTTTAGAAAACCTACCAGACATGCCAGCCGCTTCTTACTTCCCGTGGCGGATATCATTGGCCGCTCTATCGCCCACACGATAGGTCCACGGATGCTAAGGATTTCGCCGCTAAAACCGTCTCTCCTCCAAAAGTCTGTCTCGTATCGAATCTTAAACTTCTTAACTCCGCCAGGTAACATGAAGTGCACAATATCGGCGTGGTGCGGCGACATCAGAAGCGGCTCCACGTCGATGTCGTCGAGCTCATCGGGCCGCAGCGCCATCGCCAACAACCTGCACACGTAAATATCTGCGTCCCGAGTTTCCAAAATTACTTGCTCGTGTGAGTATGTTCGGATGTTCTTGATGGAGTTTGCGCGCAAAGTGATATCGGCTACGCTCTTCTGGAGCTTGTGGGATAACAGTTTCCTATAGTATCCTAGAAGTTTCTCTCGCAGCTTCATATTATTGCCGTCGATGTAGTCTCGGCAGCCGTCGTTCCTGTAGCACTGATGAAGGTAAAACAGGACGGAAACCGAGCGCGGGGGGACGCCACAAACCAGTCGCACTATGCTTCTCATGATTTCCCGGGAGTTCGGGAACATTAGCGCGCCGCAGATGTGTCTCTCCATGGTAGTCCGGTCGAAGTATAGGAGTTGCTTCCTTTCTGAAGCGGATGGTGTTTTCGAAACGCAAAACAAACTAATCATATGCTCGTCTATCATACGCTGATACTGGTTCAGTTCAAACTTCTCGAATACTGTGAGGTACTCAAAGTCGTGGAAGTTGTTGTTGCAGGGCACTGTGAGGCCGTTGGTGTGCTCGAATACTTTGTTGTGTGTGTGCGGCATATCGAGTGGGTTGAGTACTTCGTCAGGTATAGAGATTTTAAATTCCTTAGCGTACATGAGGAGGAAGCGGCGGGAGTAGCTGTCGAGGTTTTGTTGCGTCGCATTGTCGTCGCTATCGTCAGCATTATCGTCGTCATCGAAGAAGGTGACCATGTCAATCTTGGAGACGCCCTTGGGCGGGCGGGGCAGGTCGATCACGACGATGTCAAGGCTGTCACCGAACCTCATCTTGAGCTTGTACGCGATGACGATGCCGGGCAGACTTCGGCCCAGTACGATTACATCCGCCTGCACGCCGCCGCGCCCCTCCTCCGTGCTCTCACACCGCTTCACCATAAATATACTTTAAAAAGTTATGTTACAAATAAAATGATTATCGTAAGTGTCAGAGAGACGTTTAAAAAGTGTCAAGAGATAATAAAACAATCAATAAGGTTTTATATCTTATTAAAACATTCAATGATAAATTTAAATTACTTTAGAACCCTACACCTCTTTTAAATACAGTCAGAACGAGCTGAAACTAGGCTTCTTAAATATCAGTTACATCTGGAAGTAGTTGTCTAATTTATTTAATAAGTGAACATGTGCACGCGACGTCCGTCATGTTGCAATGTTTATCCGCTGGACATTTTTAGATCGCTCCTAAAGCGGGAGGTCGTACACAATTTCGCAACGAAGTCCGATTTGGTTAAATAAATCGATTTTCCTGTATAGAAAATAATTAACATGAAATCTTTACACGAATCTTGGTAAGGTGTAGTTCTGTGTATTAGTATAACATATGTAAACTGTGCGTGGTATTCTGTTTATTGATAATTGTTAAGAGTATTTCTTAGTTTCCTCTTTACTGAAGAAATTCTTTATGTGAAGGGGTTAGAATCTAGATTGGAACTTACTTCTTTATCGTAACTGTATGTTTTGATACTCGATTTGGCCTTATTTTTATGTAGTTACATTAAGGACAAAGTTGTTATGCTCAATTGAGTACCATCAAGTCGTTACGTATACTTGAAGACAGTAATAAGCAATTCGCTGGTGTAATGGCAACTGGCTATACGTGTGTTCAGCTCTGAAACGGTTAAACAGATCAACTCACAGCAACAGGTGAGCTGCAGCTCAACGATTAATTAAGCAGCTCACATCTCAACGCGAACTATTATAAATATAGGAGCTAAGCTGCAAACTGTCCGGTGATTTGCAACTCACGCAAACATACTACGCAGGTACTTGATTGATCTACGATCTGGTTCTCTGATCCGCTTCACCCATACGAACCGTAAGCTGATCTGTTGATCTTTAGTTGAGTTACCCATGGCAACTGGCAACCAAATAATAATATCGTTGTGGACTGAATCATTTGAATGAAGACGCGACGTGTGCGAACGTCACTGCCACGCCCCCGCATCACAAGGTCATTAACATGATATAACGAGACAACTTTAATACCAACGCTAGTAGTTTTGTTGATAAAACAGAGAAAATTATGTTTGGTGTATATAGCAAGATTGTAAGTACCGCCAAAATAATTAGTTTTATCCGTACGTTACGTTGTAATTTAAATGTAAAATGAAGATACAGTGATCAATTCTTCCTTTCTAAGGATTAGAGTTGGTTCTTGATAGAAGATCTTGTCAATAGCATAAGTAGGTCTTACATGAAATTACTTTAATAAGTTAAGGTAATATAATAGTTAATTATTAATTGTATTTTGCGTATCAAATTTTAAGGTTATAAAAAATTATTATGAGTAGAAGTGATCGTAATAAACCTGACGAGCTATAACCAACAGGCGGAGGGTCGCTATCGCTAGGCGGTCGGATACCATAGCGTTTCTCATTATGTCTGCAATCATTTCGGGGCCATAAAACATACGTTTTTGAATGGCCTTGGCAATGACCTACAAGCTATGACCTTCAGACGTAAGTTATAAATCTAATATTTGACATTAATAATCCAATCGCATTTTTAAAAACCTTCGGGCAGTAGAGCAAATAGCTTCTAGAGCAATATTACTTTCCTATTTCATTTGGGAACATTAGGGCGCTGTAAAAGATAAAATTGCCAATTATTTACGATTTACAGGCTTTTCCATCTACAAACATCAATGGCTTCTATTAGATAAATATACTTTAGATTTTTATTTTCCATTTTATCATAGCTTGTTTTATGGCCCCTACGGTTTGTTGAGAGGAAGTCGCACACCTAGTATTCTTTCAGCAAATTTAGTTGATAAGAATTTATTCGTGTAAATATACATGTTTTTGTTAAAAACGTATGTAAATTCTTTGGCAGGTATATTTTTATGAACCTATGACGTTCAATAATCGTTACATCTTTATCAAGTTCACATTTTTCCAGTAGTCTTTTGTTTTAAAAAGAAAACCACTCGAGAAAGGTTAACGTATCTGTGACGTCATCGATTCAGATAGATTACCCAGATAAATATGACACAGATACTGCGCTACTCGTGTAGTACAACGTGAAGTATAACTGCTTGCATTTTCTGCAGTCGACGACAAATATATTAACACAGATAAAGACGTATGCCTCAATCATGTCTTACTATACTTTTACTATTATACTTACTATCAATCTTACTGCTAATGGAACGTAATCGCGCCGTTTTTTATTATTTTTATATCATAAGGTAGCAAGCGAGTAAGCGGCCACCCGAATCCGCCGAAAAGGCGAAGCGACCGTTGCCTACCCTTAAGCGACGGAGGAGGAAACTCACTTAATGAGAATATTTCCCTTTCTTATACGTCTCCACTGTCAAATCCACGTTCCCTCTCTTCCTTTACTTCAAAGAAAATGGGTGGGGAGGAAAAGGGACAACTAGTTGGGCCACCGGCACTACACTCATCAGACAAAACGCGGGATTGCTTCCACTTCACGCCTGTCTTCTGTGTGGTCGTGGCATTGGACCGAGCGAGCCGACCCATACGTGCGAAGATGTTATAGCGGGCTCTACCTCTGTTGAACGTAAATCGTGTTTGGCACTTGAGTTGGCTCGTAGAGTAGAAGAATATTCTTGTACATGATGTGCCAAATCAATTTGTTTACTATCCCTACGCTCTATACTTTTTTCTAAGTATTAAATTCATTATTTCATTGCTTCTTAGGTCTTGATTATGTTGTATAATGTAATTATACATACGTGTTGATATGTTGATATGTTTCCGATGTTTTTTATTTGTCTGTGCAAAAAAAGAGTACAAACGGCGTGACTGTTTAATTTCTATCAACTGTAACGTAAATTAAATATGAACACAAGTAAATATGTAATGTAAGTGTGTCGTTTCAATTAAATTTTCATTGTTAAATATCATATATATGAAAGGTTAGATGGATGAATGGATGTTTGTTAGAGTTTGTAGCCTAAAGGGCTGGACGGATTTCGATGAAATTTGGCACAGATGTAGAAGATAGTCTGGAAGAACACATAGGCTATTCACTTTTGTTTTTTTCAATTCCACGCGGATGTAGTCGCGGGCGAATGCTAATACACTATAATCTACTTCAATCCTGGTTTTTTGAACTAAACAAAGACCCTCTCATTACAAATCTTATTTTATTCCTGAACTATTGCTGTTACAAACATTAAATACACATTCAGTCAACAGTCAGAATGTTAAAACCTGTGCAGACTGAAAACTGTACACTTCAAGTTACAATGTTGCCTACACAAATACCTTATACTGTTCAGTTAAAACTGAAAGTGCGTAGCCGGTTTTATTAAAATACGTAAAAAAGATATCACAGCGATATAAAAAACTGATAAAATTGGCATTCATACATTGCAGCAACTCAAAGTCAATGACATTGATATCGTAAAAGCTGGATATTTATGTCAGACAGCGCCATAGAATTAAGGGGAATATGTCAGTAGGAGAATAACAATTTTTTGTTATATTTCTCGGGCAAACCTAAAAATCAAACAATCATCATGAGTTGAAATTATCTTTGTTTAAATGGCTTGTTTTTTTTTGTAAAAAAAATCTCGTGTAATCGTGATATTACATTAAAACTATAAAGAATACGATATGGAAACAAAATCGCGTTTAGTTTCATTATGTAATCAAATGAAGATATTTATAAACTGTGCAGTTACAGTGAAATGTCTTGTTAAGTAGTCGGTGTTTGCAATTTCATAGTCAATATAAATAAATTCGCGAGAGAAGCGGCTTCAGTGGGGGCTAGAGCGGTGGACGTGCGCCCGCGCACGTAGGCACCCTCCCGCACTGTGTCCATTGTTACACGACACGACACACTAATCATCTTGCTTAATCTTAATATCATGTTACGATAATAATTATCGGTTGTGTTGCCTAGTCTTTTGGTTAGAGTCGTGTTTCTATTGTTTTTTTTTTTTAAATGATTTGACCATTTTGGTTTTAATTGTTCTCCAACAACATATACATTCAAACATGCAGTGCAATGACTCCAGACAATTTTCAATTGAATTAACTCATTGAAGGAAGAGATAATGTTTACGAATATTGTTTACGGGCAATTGGTGTAGGTTATGATACCGCTATTAATCGATAATAATTTTATAACTCTTAAGAAATGATAAGCTTGTGAATTTAATTTAGCAGTTATCTGTGCGTGCAGTCCCGTACTTCTCTGTTCGAATCAAAGTTCGTTAGATAACATATTGACTTCCTAATGAAGTTAATTCATCGTTTTATGTTACTTTTATCGTTATCGTAAAGGTAATCTATAGTGTAATAAAATTTGTTATTATTTTGATGCTGATTTCATCATAATCCAAGTTACTTTTAACTTACGACATTTTCATTTTATTTTTTCAGTTTAGTGTAAAAGAGAAAAGCTATCTGCTATGTTCAAAAAACTATTTTAACGTTAACGTCTTGACGTTATACATGCCGTGAGACAATGAAAACGCGCATGCCCCGGTAGGTGGCAGTGCGAATCGAGCCGGACCCCATTTATAGCGGACACTGCGAGCGACGGCCCCGGCCGGCGGCGGACGATCGCGGATTTGTATTCAGATACGGGATACTTTATTGTGCGATTTAGTTGCAACCTTGTCCCGCCTGGTCTTGTATCGACACCGGACTTTCGTTTCGTTTGACCTGTCTGTGAAATTCTTATGTCTACAGCAATGTGGTAATGTATACACACAAGAATATCATAGACAGGGCAATGAAACAGATGTCTTGAATATGCAATATACGCCTCAGATTAAATATAAAAAAATAACAAACGCATTGACGCTATATTTTGAGAAAGCATATATCAATTTGTAATCGCTATCGCTTGTGTTCATACTCGTATGTTAAACAATACATTAAATGTAACCAATTAATTAATTTAAATTAGCAATTAATAATACGATTAATTAATTAGCGTAATTAATTAAATTTTATCT